AAATGCTTGGTTTCTGTTTTATGTGTTGTGATGTTGTTGTATTTATTATTCCAAATTGTACAACATCTGGGAGCTTCTGTAAACAGAATATATATATATATATATATATATATATATATATATATATATATAATTCAAACTTATATGCCGCCACTCCCTTGGGGCTCGGAGCAGCTTACAAGAACAGGCTAAAATCTAACACAATTTAAAAACAATTTAAAACAATTTAAGAACAATTTAAAAACAACAACATCGAAGATCAAATGCCTGTCGAAACAGATATGTCTTAGATGCTGATAGGTCCCGGAAAGCTGATAGGTCCCGCAAGGCACGGATTTCAGGTGGCAGAGTATTCCAGAGCAATGGTGCCACTGCGTCTGGTTGCTGTTAGACGCAAAGTCTTGACACTGGGAATCTGCAATAAATCTTGGTCCTCAGAATGGAAGGATCTCTGGGCTTGATATGGGGTGAGGCGGTTCCTCAGATACATTACAAATATTTTAAATAAAAGAATAAAGTACCGTACAAAATTCATATCTATCATATACAGCAGGTGCTCACCTTTTGAGATTAGAAATGAGAATATCTATGCTGGCCTAAATCTATTGTTAGCTGTTTGCATGATGTATATACTTCCAACTCCAGCTTTTAATGTCAGTCATTTATTATTATTATTATTATTATTATTATTATTATTATTATTCTACATTTATACCCCAATTTTCTCACCCCAGTGGGGGACTCAGAGTGGCTTACAATCCATGGCATACAATGCTGCATTTTTTTTTTGGTCGTGTCAGGAGCGACCTGAGAAACTGCAAGTCGTTTCTGGTGTGAGAGAATTGGCCGTCTGCAAGGACGTTGCCCAGGGGACGCCCGGATGATTTGATGTTTTTATCATCCTTGTGGGAGGCTTCTCTCATGTCCCCGCATGAGGAGCTGGAGCTGATAGAGGGAGCTCATTCACCTCTCCCCGGATTCGAACCTGCGACCTGTCGGTCTTCAGTCCTGCCGGCACAGGGGTTTAAACCATGGCATACAATGCATATTACACATATAATAATAAACATAACCTATGAACTTAAACAATTAACATATCAATTTAAACATACAATAATAAAACATGAGATAATAATTCAAATATAAATACAATAACAAGCTTAGAAGTAATTCAAATAGAAATACAATAAAAAGCTTAAAAGTAAACATACAATAATTCAAATATAAATACAAAAAAGAGCTTAAAAGTAAACATTGAATCCCAACCAAAGTGGGCTGATGGAAAAAGTGGTCTGAAGCAACAGGAGAGGCAGGGGAATCCCAAAAACGAGCGCACGCACACGTGTTCCAATGTCCAAATGATGGGCAGCATGGCTATGGAGGTACCTGGTGGCGCAACCATTAAAGTAGCAGCGCGGCGAGGTTGCAGGGGCCATGTTCTCTCCCTGCTGGGTCAGATGGCTGGAATGAGGGTGTGGCTGCAGGTCTCCTCGTGGGTAAGCCCAGGGCTGAGCAGGCAACAAAGCTGGATGGCAACACTCAGGCCCCAGGGTCCCTCTTGCCGCAGAACCCAACAAAGCTCATACCCACAAGTGGTTCTAGATCAGTGTTTCTCAACCTTCCTAATGCTGTGACCCCTTAATTCAGTTCCTCATGTTGTGGTGACTCCCAACCATAAAATTATTTTCGTTGCTACTTCATAACTGTAATTTTGCTACTGTTATGAATCGTAATGTAAACATCTGATATGCAGGATGTATTTTCATTCACTGCACCAAATTTGGCACAAATACCCGATATGCCCAAATTTAATACTGGGGGGGGGGTATTAATTTTGTCATTTGAGAGTTGTAGTTGCTGGGATTTATAGTTCACCTACAATCAAAGAGCATTCTGAACTCCACCAAGGATGGAATTGAACCAAACTTGGCACACAGAAGTCTCATGAACAACATAAAATACTGGAAGGGTTTGGTGGACATTGACCTTGAGTTTTGGAATTGTAGTTCACCTACATCCAGAGAGCACTGTGGACTCAAACAATGGATCTGGACCAAACTTGGCACAAATACTCAATATGCCCAAATGTGAACACTGGTGGAGTTTGGGGAAAATAGACCTTGACATTTGGGAGTTGTAGTTGCTGGGATTTATAGTTCACCTACAATCAAAGAGCATTCTGAACCCCACCAACAATAGAATTGGGCCAAACTTCCCACACAGAACCCCCATGACTAACAGAAAATACTGTGTTTTCTGATGGTCTTTGTGACCCCTCTGACATCCCCTCGGGACCTCCCCCAGAGGTCTGGACTCCTAGGTTGAGAAACACTCCTCTAGATTATGTTGTACATTATTATCTACATTCACACAGAAATGCAAATTTTCACCTGATTCAGATTTATCAGAGTGTGAATATCCCTTACAGAATCCCTTGGCCTCCCCCACCCCCCTATGAACACAGGGGACAATATAGTTGACATGGCCATAGTTAATAGTTATCATCAGGCCCGTAGCCAGGATTTCGTTTCGGGGGGGGGGGGTGGGGGAATTTTTTTCAGGGGGGTTTGGGGGGGGAGGCTGAGTTTCGGTGGGGTGGAGTCTGAGTGAAAGAGGGTCTAGCCTAGCAAACCTTTTGTATCATTACCCCAATACCCCCATGCATATGGGATATATTGAGTATGGTGATCAGATCATGATATGAATAAACATAACAGTTTAAATAATGCACCAGTAAGGACTTTTCGCGAACCACCATGAGAATTTTTTTGGGGGGGGGCTGAAGCCCCTCAAGCCCCCCCCCCCCCCGCTACATGCCTGGTTATCATCTATCCAGCCTTTACAGTTTGGATTGTGTGCTCCTCTGATGTTTGCATTGCCAACGTAATAGGGTGTGACTTTCACGAGCTTCAGTTCTAAAGCCACAATTTGCATGATGGAAAAAAGACAATCTTTCATGGAACTGACAAAGAAATTACCTCAAGGCCCTGCTCTCGGCCCTGCCTCTGTCTCAAACACGTTTGGTGGGAATGAGGGACAGGGCCTTCTCGGTGGTGCCCCCCCTCCGCCTGTGGAATTCACTTCCTGGGGAAATTAGGGCATCATCATCCCTCCTTACCTTTTATCTTACCTTACCTAGTTTTTCAGTCCCCCAAGGAAATTATTTCTAATTTCTTTTGGCTTAATTTGTTTTATGGATGGTAGATGATAGACAGAAGACATTCTAACTTTGCCTCTGTTATCTTTGTAAAATAATTTAGGTTTAACTTAACAGCAAACATAGTATGGAGAGCCAGCAGTTGGAAATTAAGAGCATCAACACTTGTACAGAGTAATTCACTATGTTGCTTTCTTTTTGCTTTTTTGCTCCCTTCCTGTCTGCAGACATCATTCCCCCTTCTCCTAAAAGCCACTCTTTTATCCTTTTGTCTGTGGTAAAAAGGACAATTGAAATTCCTATCTCAGGATGGCTCTATATCCATACATTAGACCCAGCTTTGTTGTTGTTGTTGTTTATTCGTTCAGTCATTTCTGACTCTTCGTGACCTCATGGACCAGCTCATGCCAGAGCTCCCTGTCGGCCGTCACTACCCCCAGCTCCTTCAAGGTCAAGCCAGTCCCTTCAAGGATACCATCCATCCATCTTGCCCTTGGTCGGCCCCTCTTCCTTTTTCCTTCATTGTCTTCTCCAAGCTCCCGCCAATGAGCAGTCAGGCTTTATTTCCTGAAGTATGGACTGGTTTGATCTTCTCGTGGTCCAAGGCACCCTCAGAACTTTCCTCCAGCACCACAGTTCAAAAGCGTCTATCTTCCTTCTCTCAGCCTTCCTTATGGTCCAGCTCTCGCATCCATAGATTACTATGGGGAATACCATTGCTTTTACTATGCAGATCTTCGTTGCCAACATGATGTCTTTACTCTTCACTATTTTGTTGAGATTGCTCATTGTTGTCCCCTCAAGAAGTAAATGTTTTCTGATTTCCTGGCTGCAGTCTGTGTCTGCAGTAATCTTTGCGCCTAGAAATACATGGTCTGTCACTGCCTTCACATTTTCTCCCTCTATTTGCCAGTTATCAATCAGTCTGGTTGTCATCTTCTTTGTTTTTTGAGGTTTAGCTGCAACCCAGCTTTTGCTCTTTCCTCTTTCACCCTGGTTACAAGGCTCCTCAGCTCCTCCCTGCTGTCAGCCATCAAAGTGGTATCAACTGCATACCTAAGGTTGTTAATGTTTCTTCCAGCAATCTTAACTCCAGCCTTGGATTTGTCAAGCCTCACACGTCACATGATGTGTTTTGCATATAAGTTGAATAGGTTGGGTGAGAGTATACAGCCCTGTTGTACTCCTTTCCCAATCTTGAACCAGTTGGTTGTTCCATGGTCTGTTCTTACTGTTGCTACTTGGTGGTTATACAGATTCCTCAGGAGACAGACAAGGTGACTTGGTATCCCATACCACCAAGGACTTGCCACAATTTATTATGACCCAGCTTTAGTGGGTCTTTTACTAAACTATTGGTAATCTTCTTTTGTCTATCTCCTCTCCTATTCCTAGATGGATTTTCTGAAATAATAAATGTGTGTTTTTCCATTTTTCAACCTTATAACAGCATCCTAATATTTCTCTTCATTTTTCTACTGCAAACTCATATTACTTTGCCAATACTGCACTATGTTTGATATAGGGAACTTCCACACACTGCAAAAATATGTGCCAATTTGGGCTTTGGTGTGGATTTTTGTCCCCACTCCCACAAAAAAAAAAACAAAAAAAAACAGGGAGGGTGGCAACATGCCATCCTGATAACAATCAAAATGACATGCAGTCACCTTAAATCCCAAGTTTACTCCTAACAAATAAAGAAAACTTACCTGGCCATTATTATGTTCCTCCTTGCACCCTCCTGGCGTAAGAGAAATGATGTGGCAGGAAACAGTGGGCGAGGAGGGAAATCCCTTCTTGTCCCATCGTCCGTCCCCCCGTCCCCCTCCAGTCTCTTGTCATGTCATTTCCTCTCGTCAGGCAGTACGAAGAGGAACATAATGGTGGGCAGGTATGTTTTCTTTTTTTTTTACAGGTAAATTTGGGATTTGGAAGGAAGGTGTTTGTTCTCTCTCAGTTTTTTGGCCTTCTGGAGCCTGAAAAGCCAAGATGGCTGTGTGGATTGGGCCCAGGGATCATGTGATGTGGTCCCCTGGCCCAATCCACACTTGGTAAGACCCAGATCTTGCCATAAGATTCAGATATTACCAGGTGATTAATTAATTTGGAACAAACCAGGGAAACCCTGGTTTGTTATGAATTAATTTGTTTTTACCAGAGACGTCGTTTGGGCGCCTCCATTAAAACCAAGACAGGTTCCAGGATATGGGCCTGTCTGAATGAGTCCATAGATACCAAACATTCGTACACCAGAATGGTATACTTATTGAATGTTGGACTCTGGAACACCTTGGCCATGAAAACGCACTGGGTGACATTGGACACATCTCAGTTTGAAAAGAAAGCAGTGGCAAACTTCTTCTGAATAAATATCACTAGGAAAGCCCTATGAGATATTTTACTTGAAGACACAAAACAATATCAAGCCCCTTAATTCCAAGAAATTAGGTTGATTGTCATGTAATATATATGTATAAATAGCTCTTGAAATTAAAGACAGAAGATAAACAAGCAAGTGATTATATGATAAAATGGGCTGCCTTTTCTCTAGTAGGGAAAAATCAATTTAAAGCAAAAAAACAAACACGGAATACCCTCTGGAAGCTGATGTCCATTGTGAGGAAAGTCAGAGGTCCATTCATGATTGATGGGTGGGTGGGGGATTGACAATGTTGACAATCTTGTGGATTCCAATTCCCAGAATCCCTGGCTATTCTCAAACTGGCTGAAGCTTCTGGGAGCTGAAATTACAAAAAACAACTGGAGGACCACAATTTGGGAGCCATTGACCTAAAGTAAAACAAATGTTTGGATGAATTCGATAACTATGCTGTGTGGTTTCTTGCCTAAATTTTCTCCTTCTTAAATCCATCTCTTCCTACCCCAAAGGTACAGCTGGAAGCACAATAACATCTTATACAGGTAGGAGAAACTCCTTTTTAAAGTTTATAATTCCCTTGCCAGTGAGCTACAATTGTTTAGAAGATATTTACATTTATTTAACTTCTGGATCAAAATAAATAAGAAATGTTATCAGCCAAAAACGTATAACACAATGGAATAAATAGCAAGATGATCATAGTAATAATATTTTTTAAAAACCAAAAACAAGCAGAAAACAGGTCTACCAGTTGAACCCATTACCTGAGATATCAGATTTGGTTGTGCTGATACATAACTGGATTACACTTCATTAGGATTTCTGTATACACACATGATGTGGAACTGTCTTTGGAAATTCTTTGGAAATTTCAGCTGGTATAAAAAGCAGCAGCTAGGTTGCCGACTGTGATGTGTTATAAAGAGCATGCAACACACTTGTTGAAAGTGGTCGAGGAGTTACCAGTCCATTTCTAGACAAAATTCATGTCTTGGGACCAGACTGTCAGAAAATCTGTTATCTCCCTATAAGCCTCCCCGAATTTTGACCTTAAGCACGTTTTGTGGGTCCTACCACTATCACAAACATGTTTGGTTGGGATATTATTGATGGCTTCTACCAAACTGGCCCTCTGGTGGCACAGCAGGTTAAACCACCGAGCTGCTGAACTTGCTGACCGAAAGGCTGGCGGTTCAAATCTGGGGAGCAGAGTGAGATCCCGCTGTTAGGCCCAGCTTATGCCAATGTAGCAGTTCAAAAGCATGCAAATGTGAGAAGATAAATAGGTACCGCTTCTTCTGGAAAGTAACGGTGCTCATGCTGGCTACATAATCTATGGACAATGCCAGCTCTTCAGCTTAAAAATGAAGATGGGCACCACCCCCATAGTCGGACATGACTAGACTTAATGTCGAGGGGAAAACTTTACCTTTACTTTACTCACAAACTGTGAAACACTCTTCAGTCAGAAATTTCCCTGGTTGACTCCCTGCTGTCTCTACTGGTAACCAAAGACCTTTCTTACTCCTGCATACCTTTTTAAACCTATTGTTGTACAGTTTGTGGTATGTGGTATGTATATCTTACTATGTTTGTAAATGTCTTTTAAAACTGTTTTTAATTGGCATTTTAAAAACAGAATTATTGTTTTATTACTTTTATTTGTTATATTTATATGGGTTAACTTATTGTAAGCAACCTAGAATCCTGGGCTGAGAGATCACTGGACTATTTATTAAATTATTAATGAATTGATCCCTCATTAGGAATTATGTAACCTTTGAATTGCCCCGTGTTATCCTAATCAATAAAGTTAATCCTCACCCATGAATTCCACAGATGCACGTATTCGAGGCCATGCAACAATGTCTTTTCAAGACTCATGTGTGTGGAATCTGGGAAAAGGCAGACCACCTTTAGGGGCCCAAATAGAAGCACATAAACTTATCCACAAAGTAACAAGTAGTCCATTATTTACATAGTTCACAATTCCCACAATGAACGATTCTTGGGGAAATATCATCTTGAAAGTCCTATATGACCTGGGCCAGAATATAGGAATGTTAGATGGCTTCACTTTTAAAGTTTTAATTCTCAGTCTTCTTCTTACCCATCCCATTTTTTTTAAAGTTCCGGATCCAAACGTGACAAGTCCTACAAGTAAGCATTCAGTTATTTCCATAGTTCACAATTCTCTCCATCAATGATTTAGAAAACAGAATATTCGTTTTGCATGTATTTAACTGCTGTGTCCAAATTAATAAGAATTTTTATGCTCCTAGAATTAAAACACAAATGAACACCTGAATGACAATAAGAAGAACAAGTCTCCTCCTCTGCTTTTCGGGAGCTCCTTGCGCCGTTTGCACCAGGTTCCCCTCAGAGACCAAATCCAATTCTTTTAGTCCAGGTTTTAATGAAGAATATAACATCAAACAATCCCAAAAAGAGTCGTATCTTAACCATGATACTTTTAATCCAGTTCTTAATGAAGGTTATAAGGACAAACAGTGCCAGAAGGAGTGGTATCTTAATTCTAATGACATTTGGCAGGAAAGAATGGTGCCCTGCCATCTCTGCTGTTGCTCCTGGAGAAATTAGTGGGCGAAAACACTGGAGAATAGTCAGGATTTAAAATGATGATTATGATCTTGAAAGTCCTATGTGGCCTGTGCCCAGAATATAGGAATGTTGGGTGGTTTCTCTTTTAAGGTTTTCTTATCAATCTTTTTCTTCTTCTTCTTCCCCATCCCATTTTTTTTAAGTTCCAGATCCAAACGTGACAAGTCCAACAAGTAAGCACTCAGTTATTTCCATAGTTCACAATTCTCTTCATCAGTGATTTAGAAAACAGAATATTCGTTTTTCATGCATTTAACTGCTGTGTCCAAATTAATAAGAATTGTTCTACTCCTAGAATGACACAAATGAACATCTGAATGACAATAAGAACAATAAGTCTCCCCCTCTGTGTTTTGGGAGCTCCTTGTGCTATTTGCACCAGGTTCCCCTGAAAGACCAAATCCAATGTATTTAATCCAGGTTTTAATGAAGAATATAACATCAAACAATCCCAGAAAGAGTGGTATCTTAAGTATGATACTTTTAATCCAGTTCTCAATGAAGGTTATAAGGACAAACAGTGCCAGAAGGAGTGGCATCTTAACTCTAATCACATTTGGCAGGAAGGAATGGTGCCCTGCCATCTTTGCCACTGCTGCTGGAGAAGCTAGAGGGTGGAGCCAGTGGGGAATAGTCAGGATTTAAAGTGATGATTATGATCTTGAAAGTCCCATATAGCCTATGTCCAGAATATAGGAATGTTGGGTGGTTTCTCTTTTAAAGTTTTCCAATCGTTTTTTTTCTTCTTCTTCCCCATCCCATTTTTTTAAAAGTTCCGGATTCAAACGCGACAAGTCCTACAAGTAAGCATTCAGTTATTTCCATACTTCACAATTCTCTCCATCAATGATTTAGAAAACAGAATATTCATTTTGCATGTAGTAAACTGCTGTGTCCAAATTAATAAGAATTGTTCTACTCCAAAATTAAAACACAAATGAACATTTGAATGACAATAAGAAGAATAAGTCTCCCCCTCTGTGTTTTGGGAGCTCCTTGTGCTATTTGCACCTGGTTCCCCTGAAAGACCAAATCCAATGCGTTTAATCCAAGTTTTAATGAAGAATATAACATCAAACAATCCCAGAAAGAGTGGTATCTTAAGTATGATACTTTTAATCCAGTTCTCAATGAAGGTTATAAGGACAAACAGTGCCAGAAGGAGTGGCATCTTAACTCTAATCACATTTGGCAGGAAGGAATGGTGCCCTGCCATCTTTGCCACTGCTGCTGGAGAAGCTAGAGGGTGGAGCCAGTGGGGAATAGTCAGGATTTAAAGTGATGATTATGATCTTGAAAGTCCCATATAGCCTATGTCCAGAATATAGGAATGTTGGGCGGTTTCTCTTTTAAAGTTTTCCAATCATTTTTTTTCTTCTTCTTCCCCATCCCATTTTTTTTAAAGTTCCGGATTCAAATGCGACAAGTCCTTCAAGTAAGCACTCAGTTATTTCCATAGTTCACAATTCTCTCCATCAATGATTTAGAAGATAGAATATTCATTTCGCATGCATTTAACTGCTGTGTCCAAATTAATAAGAATTGTTCTACTCCAAAATTAAAACACAAATAAACACCTGAATGACAATAAGAAGAATAAGTCTCCTCCTCTGTTTTTTGGGAGCTCCTTGTGCTATTTGCACCAGGTTCCCCTGAAAGACCAAATCCAATGTATTTAATCCAGGTTTTAATGAAGAATATAACATCAAACAATCCCAGAAAGAGTGGTATCTTAAGTATGATACTTTTAATCCAGTTCTCAATGAAGGTTATAAGGACAAACAGTGCCAGAAGGAGTGGCATCTTAACTCTAATCACATTTGGCAGGAAGGAATGGTGCCCTGCCATCTTTGCCACTGCTGCTGGAGAAGCTAGAGGGTGGAGCCAGT